TCTACTTTGGCCGAATCAGCAGCGTGGTTGTGTTTCCCGATTGATAAAATGGCGAGTGAAATCTGGCATGACATTTGTTCTTCCGGCTAAGTTCTCACTTCCACATCACCTTTTCTTCCGTCTCCTTGTCTTTGATAGACAGTGACCCAGGTGCAGCAATTTCGGCTTCCTCTTCATACTAGGAATCAGCTGCAGAGATATTTCTTTTTGACTATCCATTCGAATTACTGCAGCTACTATAACAATTGTTCTTGATCAATCATCGTGCTCATAACACGTATTATGTGCAGCAACTGTACAGACGATCAGCTGTGCGCGAGCAAGTTTGTGTGAACCATACAAACTATATAGCATTTTGTAATGAGGAAGGCCCGAAGAAGGAGAAGATTCGAAAGAAATGAAGGCAGAAACATAGTCGTTCAGTGAAAAACTGACTCTGTCTCAGTAAAATCGACATAGTACATGTTAGACACTTTTCGGAAGAAGCAACGCAAAGAATCTTTGAAGGCGAAGATATGGTACGTAAGACTAGCATTCAAATATCTTCGTTGTGTATTTCACGACAGTGAAAAAATATTTGGTTACGAAGTTGATCGAAAAGGACACGACTAAATAAATAACGGTTTGTGGCATGCTGTGTGATGGTAAAATGTCCATAAAACTAAAGGAAAAGAACTATTGAGCAGTAATAAGACTTGTGCTTTTGTGAGGAAGGAAATGTTGACTGCTTTAAAGATGCGAGCAGCATCTGAATTCAGTAGAAATGTAAATTTGAACATATTGTACCATCGAAAAGGATAACACTCTGAATACTTTCATAAATAGCATCTCAAGTGTAACCCCAAATAACAGAGCGGCTAATCGAAAGCGGTTAGCCATTTGTAAGAAAGATCTGACGACTACGTTGACACTACGATAGAATCACTTATATACAAAGAAGAGAAAATGTGGCACTGTTAAAGGGAGTACACTAGAAAGAGGAAATATCAGTAGTACGTAGCTAAACAAATTGCACTTCCTAACTAAACGCACATTATTAAAGATCTCATTCCTGTTTTGACTTGTGCTTAATTATTAAACAAGAAGATACATTTATGTTTCGTAAACGAACCGGAATGGCATTCATCGACTTAATAATTTACATAACTGCTTATGTTTTGTTTTTCAGGTTAAATTCCTTTGCGCGGTCTCGAACGATATACTGACCAATTCGACGCCGTGTGCAGTGCTGAAAACTTCGTATGATGCCACTGTATTCTTTACGCTTTTAACAAACTGCTTTAGTGGAAACGTGGTGACTATAGATTGCGTAGAGAATGTCATAAAAAAGGATTGGATCGATCCTACGAACGGCAGGAATATGACCGAGCAGGACATTATTCTTTTGCAACGAGGAGGAACGGGATTTGCGGCCGTAAATACGAACCTCAAGGCGAAAATTGCAAGGCCGGTCTTGGAACTTCAGTAAACGTGTTGGAACCTAGAAATTTTTCCTGGGTAAAATTTCTGTTGCGGTGACAGAAAGTGTATTAACCGGCATGGGGTTGAAACGAATGTCTGCAGGTGTTTCATTGCTACGCTTTTGTAAAAGTGAATTAAACTTCACCCCTTCCATGCGTTCGCATTCTGACGTGTATATGTTTATACACATTATATTTGACGATACTTTGCACATCTGCCTCAAGGTGTTTGCAACTTGTTGTTTCTCGAAGAATCGTTGTTTGGCAGAAGTGCGGAATGGTTTTGGGCGATAGTGATTCGGAAGGCGCTGTATTGTCTGTGACCGATAAAAAGCAATCTAACTCATGGGAGGCGGTAAGCGGTTATGGGTTGAAGGATCCAAATGAGCGCACACTTTTTGCTTACACTTTTTTTGTTTTAGCAACCGGATCAAAATCAGGGTACCCGTTTGATGGCTCCGATTGTCGTGCTGCAGGGTCACGGCGGCGAAATCTACTCGGCGAAGTTCAGCAATGGTGGTGATTTCTTGGCATCTGCTGGCTTCGAGCACAAAATTTGTACGTTTTTATCTTACTGTTGTCTAAATTTCATAAATTGAAACGAAATTTGTCTTCGAAAGTTTAAGCCGATTCAGTTCCACTGAATAGTTAGATGGTGAATTTTATAATCAATAGTCGTAGGCATCGAAAGTCGAAATAATTTTTCTTCAGTGAGCAACGTCTAATATTCAGAACCTTAAATATTGTGTATGATAAGACGATGATATATAGTTCCGTTCATGGATGTTTTAGTTAAACATAGTGTCCTGGCATCGTTGACTTCTGTCTATACGAAGCCGATACATTAGAGTTAATACTTAAGCCATTTCTTTAATACGCTATTTTCTGCCTTCATTAATATTGTAGGCAGGCCAGTTAAAATCAGCACTCATTCCTCCTTGTTCTTAGAATGAATAAAAATTTTGCTAGAATAGGAGTAATCCGCCCAATAATATGTCTGATTTGGGCGAAGCATTCTACTGGCTGCATCGTTCTGCCTTTCCAGGATCATTCAGCAGGATGTTTTCCTCAAAATTTACTGCATTGTGAGACCTTAGAAACAAAACTGCACGAAGTGCCTTCTGTCGGCCTTTGTGGACCGCGCTGTTCGTTATATATCTTTATGAAAATGAATCTTGCGACTCATCTGTCAGGCTTTGGTCTGTCACGTGGAAACTGGCCGCAACTCATTTACCATCTGTCGATAGGACATTCAAAGCAGCCCGATTTGCGGGTATGGTCAGCAGGCGAAATTCATGTCTCACATCGTTAGCGGCTGGAAAGATTCATACTGTTAATGACAGCATATAAATGCATAAGAGCACGGACAAGTGTCTGCGACATCAGTGCCTGAGTGTAGAAGTTAAAGTGGCAATGGGCAGGACACGTTGCAAGAAGAACCTACCGGCGCTAAACCAGAGGGGTACTTGATTGGGTTCCAAGAGATTAAACTACCCGTAGGAGGATCTCCAGAATGATGGAATGATGAGCTGAGGAGGTTCGTTGGATCAAGATGGATGAAAATGAGACAGCACAAGTTCGTGACAAAGTCTTGGAAAGACCGTCATCTAGCGGCGGATCAACAAAGGCCGATGAGGGAATGATCGTTTGCGACTGTCAAATGGCACGACCAAGAGTTGACAGCCTTGAACCAAGTTTTCCAGCATGTAATGTAGCCTGAGTGTTTTTGCATTTGATAAATGAATATTTCGAATTACATTAGGTGTGTCATAGCAGTTTCATTCGTCAAGTGACATGCCATAACGTGTTTCTTTTAGCAGCCAGATTCACGCCTCTTATTTCTTCTGGTTAATTAGCTGACTTCGTTTTTAACCGGTGCAATATTGCTGGTTGTTTGGATGAATGATTATAAAGCTAACACTGTATTTATGAGTCTCTTATTGGTTAATTTCTAAGTTTTTATGTTATTTCTCTCCTCTTCATTATTTATTAGCTTTATTATTTTGTGAACGTGCTAAGATTTAAAGATGTAAATATAACTTTATGCCGGAGTAATGTTAATAACTTAATGCGACATTTTTAGTTCTATGGAATGTTTATGGTGAGTGTGAAAATTTCGCCGTGTTGAGAGGTCATTCTGGCGCTGTTATGGAGCTGCATTTTTCTGCAGACTCAGAGTGAGTATGAACATTTTGCATGTCAGTTAGTGTGTTCGAGGACTGCTAAAACACTCTTTCTGATCAGTACGTTTGATAAACAACTATGGTTATGTAATGTGATTGATTTTTTTAGTATCCGATTGCCTACTGTACTTCTGTAATGAGGCTTGTATGCGTCTATTTTTTCAACTCCACTCGTGTTCTGCCTTGGCCTTTACCTGCAAGCCACTTTCCATTCTGTCTAAACGTTCTCTTACATCCCCTAAGATTTCGTCTGCACTTTTTTGTCTTTCGTACACTGACTCGGCTTCTTCATGAATACGCGAATCAATCATTGAAGACATATTGATATAAATTGTTTTTGACAACGATAGTTGCTGTTACTTTAGTAGCGTATATTAGTGTTTCTGCCGCTTATCATCAGATTACCTAAAGAATTGTAATATTTCTAAGAAAAAGTAATATTTCTCCATGTCAGTGGCAGAATTCGTTCTGATTGGTTTTTCATCAATAAACGCGTGTTTAATGTCGCCCACCTTAATTAACAATCTTACTGAAACTATTATGCTAAGATGGCATTATTTTATTATATTATTACAGTCGAAGCGTCACACTTGAAGTTAAAAGATTAATGAAAATTGGTCTCAAAGTTGTGATAGGTAAATAAAATTTTGCAAAATTCACGTACCGTGCATTTGTAGAAAGCATCACCTCAGATGGAACGACGCATTGAGAAATGCTATTTGTCACAGACAAGAATTTGCTTTTCCATCTACTGCATTACAACTTCAGCAGAAGTTGCTGTGCTCAGAAACTTTCCCAACTGCGATAACTAATAAAATTACTGGAGAAAATGTTTTCCTTAAATTACACCTGATGAAGTGACCGCTGTAGTCAGAAACTGAATTTCACCTTATTGCAGTGGATGGTAATGATTTCTAGTATATGTCCTCTTTTCAGTATTTAATCTGGTCTCTGGATGAAACACTGGCTAAACGATGGAATGGCAACTAACGTTTAAATAACACGATGACATTGTTTTAACAGTGTTTGGTTTGCAGCAAGTCAGCCATTTGGTTTTGATCGCCGCTTATTCATATGGGTTGCGGAGCCAGCAGCGTCTGCCTCAGACCTTCATGATATTGTGCCATTGTCTGAGCCTTGACAGAAGATAATCTATATAACAGCTGTTGCGCTTTGCTTTCTGGAAGCATTCTGAAAGCGTTCCCACTTAATTGCCGTTAATGTTTCGTCTGAAACTTTTCAGCGTTTTGTTCACGTGTTCAACAGACAAAACGATCCGGTTGTGGGATTTGGAAACGGGCATCTGTCGGCGAAAATTCAAAGGTCACGCATCGTTCGTCAACTCTTGCTTTCCCGCTCGGCGTGGGCCAGAAATTGTCTGCTCCGGAAGCGACGACGGTACGATTAAACTCTGGGATAGTAGGAAGAAAGACCCGGTGCAGTCTTTCGAGAATTATTACCAAGTGACGACGGTAACTTTCAACGACACGGCGGAACAGATCGTGTCTGGCGGTATCGACAATGACATTAAAGTATATTTCGTTATGACTTTTACCTGCGCGTTGACAGTGACCATGGTGAAAATTGCGTAGGTTTGGGATTTGCGCAAGACAGATTTGGCGTACCAAATGCGAGGTCACACGGATACAGTGACTGGCCTGGAGCTGAGTCCTGACGGGACGCACGTTCTTTCGAACTCTATGGACTGTACTGGTAAGTTGTGTTTACTACGTTAGCGCTTTTTGGCGAATTCATCTTCAGAATTTAGTCAGAGCCTGGGACATTCGACCTTTCGCTCCTGAGATGCGCTGTACCAAAGTGTTTCTCGGCGTCCAGCACAACTTTGAGAAGGTGATCCTTTAAAGAATGTTCATGATACTTTCTAAATTTACATATGTCTAAATGCAGCCAGAACTTGATTGCCGTTTCGCTTCTCAGTGCACCTCTTAAAACCGGGGAATCGTTTGTACCAGAACTACAATTTCCGTACATAATAATTCCTGAGTTTCTGAGACATTCAGTTAGCCTTATCTCGTAAAACAGTAATTTTGGAAATATAATTTGAAAAATACTTTTACGCGTTAAGCGAAAACAAAGTTATCTTTAACTTGAAATTTCTTATCCAGAATAATATTCGTAACCAGTTAATCTATTCGTTTTTGAACTCTAAATTCTACTGCGCAGAAAAGAAGGACTGAAGTAAGCGTATTGCGATCACCTAGTTGTACATACTGCAATGAAGAAAATGGATGCTCTCTTTAGTAATACCATCGCAACGTAGTCCAAACTGCATCATGATTTCCCTAAAATAAGGGTTATAGAAATGGCTGTTAGCTTGGAAATGTAACGGAGATCAACATCTTAATCGTTAAAACCTACCTACCTTCTTTCCTTTCAGCTTTTTTTACCTTTTCATATGACAAGGTCGTAGAAACCCATTTTTCAGTTGTAAAATAAGCTAATTTCCATCAATTATTTTTCCTCAAAATTTAGTGATTTGTGTGATAAAATTGCTTTAAAATTTTTTCATAAAATTTACAGACGATTGCAGCTTAATTAACATTTTAATTTAGTTTTAATTTGGAGAATTTTAACGACGCGCGTTGAGAATCAGCGACTTTAATAAGGTAAATCAGTTTCTCATGAATGTACTGTAACTATAAAGTGGAATGATTTGAAACTGCCCTTGTATCTTCCCGAGAAAGAGCGCAGTAAATTCTTTTTCCGTCATGCCGACTCGCATTTGAATATAAAAGCAGTCACTAAATTAGGTTTTTTTATGTACTGCGTGGGCAGAATTTTTATTAATCCCGCGTTTCACACCTTTTCGAGCGCTACTTTTAAAAATAGTTCAGGTTAATTTCTTTTTACGAATTATTAGTCTCGCTGTCAAAGTTCATATTCTGTCTGCTGCAATGTTAACAATCGATTCGCATGAAAGAATGATTTTTTAACTGCATTATGCGTTCAGAATTTGCTGCGGTGTTGCTGGTCTCCTAATGGCAGCCGAGTTTCCGCCGGATCGGCAGATCGTTTTGTTTATATCTGGGATGTACCCAGTAGGAGAATACTTTACAAACTGCCAGGTCATCTAGGGTCTGTGAACGAAACAGATTTTCATCCTACAGAAAATATCAGTAAGTGTCATAATGTGTTATGATATGATGACTAACTTATCGGTTTTTGCTTTTTTTCAGTTCTTTCTGCTGGAAGCGATAAAAGGTTATTTTTGGGCGAGGTACAGTAAAATTGGCTTCGAATTGTACCGTCACATTTTTGCCCTGTTCAGCGAGATTTCAGTTGTTGTATCTTACGTTATTAATGTTAATGATTAAATTTAGTTTTTGAACTGTGTTTCTCGCTGTGGTGTTTCTCGTTTATTCACGTTTTCGTTATCGGATCAGACTCCAGGTGCATTTGTATGTACTGATATGTCTGATCTATGCATTAGTGTTGATGACAGCGGAGTTGACCAAATGAAGCGAGCCTTCGTCTGCGTTTCGCCGTACCACTGCATTTACAAGAATCTCGCACTGGAGCATCTGCTGTTCTCTAAGTTCGACTTCGAGAAGACCGACGGTCTGTTGCTGTGGCGCAATCATCCGGCGGTCGTCATTGGTCGCTTCCAAAATCCTTGGGTGGAATCAGATGTCAGCTTCTTGAATGCATGCGGTATTGCATTGGCCAGACGCGCTAGTGGTGGCGGCGCCGTTTATCACGACCTAAGCAACATAAACTTCAGTTTTATGTCCAGCAAGCGTCGCCACGATCGCAGCGCGAATCTGCACGTTCTCCAGCAGGTTGTGCGTCAACTCTATGACGTCCATTTGAATATTGGAAAACGGCACGACTTATATCTTGACAGGATTTTCAAAGTAAACATTGTTTTCCTTAAACTTACGTCTAACATGCGAATCATATTTCGCTAGAGACAATTTTTGTGCAACCGAATTTTGAATATATTACGTAAATGTATTTCGACCTTCTTTAGTTCGACACCATTTTAGTCATTGCCTGTAGCCAGAAGTTTTGGACTGTTGGTTTTATAGCACATCACTGACTAAAGACCATTGAATCAGTTCGGTAAAACATCTAGTTGCATAATTCAGGCACGGATAAACATCGTCCAGAAATGTGATTAGAACATTTCAAAATCTCTTAAATTCTGGTCATGTAGCGAGTACGGTAAACGACCGCATGTGGTGTTCGGCGTGGCGCTGCACTGACAGTACCATTTTCGTTGTCAGGAATCGGTATTGAACATTGATTTCTCTTTTATCTCTTTTTATAGCACTCATGTTTTAAAACTTTCTCGAAAACAGCAAATCTGAAAAGCAGCAAAACCGTTCCTAATCGTCACAACGCAGAGCGGCAGTGTCATGAAAATACACCCTTGCAAACTAACTACATTTCATGGTACCGTGAAGGCATCTCAGTTGATTTAAAGTAAGCTTAGCGCGAGGATTCAACTACTGTTAGATCTGTGATTACGGCTACTCGTTCTCTGATGAAACGGCGATTTGCATCCCACTTAACAAAGTGCCTCGGTGTCGTCGTATCTCCTGACTTCATATAGCATGGCCACTTTAACTCAATGCCCAATCACTTGCTATGCCTCTGTCTAAAGACGGCGGAACGTTTATGACTAAAAAATGTCAGTAAGGAGTTTACCTTTGCACGCGTGGTGCTACAATTCATCTACTTGTGGGGATTGCTTCTATGAGCTTACAGTGCGATTATAATGTTACTAGAGATTCCTTGAAGTTAGTCTGGAGGCAGAACGACTGTATTAGAGGAAGCGATCTCGTATTATGCATCGGGATCTCAGCTTCGTGCGAGCTTCACGTTGGTAACACCATCCTTGAAAGCATCATGCATCCCTTGCATGACACGACCACGCAAGCCTTTCTTGCCGTTTTTCCACCATTTTCTAGTGCCTGAATATGTAGTCAAAACAGAGCTATACCTTAGATCAATCAGTAGGGTTCCACACGTTGGTAGGTAGCAGTACTTAACACATGCGCAATGTACGTTACTTATTTCGTTTTACTGTTACATCTGATTCTTCTGTTCCTATCTATTCATCCAACCGTACAACAGCTAGTCGATAACCCCTCACTTAATGTGCTTTCTTGTTCAAATTGTTGAGATATAAAGAAGTTCCATCAGATACTAACCGAAATTATGAATCGTCTTCCTGATTTGGTGCTGTATTGAATTGC